GTTTTAAATTTTCTTTAAATTCATGTAATAACACATTTACTAATTTAATCAGTTTGCCTTTCTTAAAACAATCTTTTCGTGCAAAATTTTAATTTATGCGTACTCGCAATTTATCAAGAAAAGTTTTAAAAATTCAATTTCAATTGTTACAACTCTACTGGTTCAACTAATTTAATTTTTAATTTTTGAATAATTCTTTTGTTTATAGATACGATTTTACACTATTACTGAGACTATTTAATTGTTTTTGATAATATCACCGCCGTCTTAGTTAAATAAATTCCGCTGCTGCTAACGCCAGGAGTTTTCCTTTTCACGACCGCACATAACCAGACAAGAGACCTTCTTCCAAGTGTACGCAACTTTTATACCGTCAACGATCAACGGTGCCAGCTGTTGGTACGTTAAAGTTCAACGACCGTTGATCGAAGCTCGTGAACTGATCCCTCTGCAATGCACCAGCGAAAGTCTAGCTTTAGGGCGAATTCTACTTTTCCCTCTCATGTGGAAGCTGGAACTTGTTCTTTCTTTAAGCTTCGCCCTAGTTCTACACCTTTTCCACAAAAGCTTTCTTCGTTTGACAGCTCGTGTTGTTTTGTTTTGATTTTGTTCTATTTTTTTTTTTTTTTACAACGTGTTGTGCCGGTGAACGTGTGTATTTAATTCTATTAATTAGAAAATTATTTTAAAATTATTTTATTTTCCAATAAAGTTCCAGCAAAATAGAACACCCAACGATAGCTCAAGATATGTGCATTATTGTTTTATTCAAATATATTTGTTATGCATTAACAAATAACTTTCATGCAAGTTCAGAATTTGTCAAATGCAAAAATGACGTCGCTGATGGCAGAGGATCGCGGTGAGTTGGTTAAGTTAATGTGCTTATCCGTACTTAACAAATTTTATTTTTCAATGCAGGAACCGTCGATTATATGAGTTCAAGTGAGTGTTTCTTGTTGTGTGTTAGGTGATCGTGTTGTGTTTAGTAGACAGCTATACCCACGACGTTGTAACGATCAAATTTTTGGTTGACAAAATTTTGGCCGTTACACTCCCTCCTTTCTTTCAGGAAACGTGATTTGCCCTGAACCATTACCTGCCAGCGTGATTTCTGTGACGTTGCTTTGGACTCTTATATATTTTATAGAAGTCGTATTGCTCTTTGATGTGGTGATCGTCTTGTTGAAATACACTTCGATGTTTCACTTGTTGCTGTCGACTTTGAATACTAGGTGGATTTTGCGATGCGTGATACTCGTAACATACTTGTTTTAGAAGACGGATTGTTTTTTCCTTTTGCTGTGGTAGTTGTGTTAATGGTAATGATTGGGTAAGACTAAGTATTTCATCATATATTTGACCTTTTGTCGAATTTGTTTTGATAATGTTATCCTTTTGCTTCCATGGTATTAGCGAAGTCTTTGACGGTGGTTGTTCTTGCGAGATGTTAAACACTTCTTGTACTGCGTGCTCTGGGGTATCTAGTAGCTGTTTTCCATCTGGACCTGGCGTTACACTGATAGGGCTTGCACTTCGGTGTCGTTGTACTTCTTCCATGCTACTAGGTCTTGAATCTTGCTGTTGTGGCACGTGCTCATGTATATCTTGCTGTTGACCAAATTCTGCTGGCATTTCGTTGAATTTAAGATTTGGTTGTCGTGGTATTTCTGGTATTTGCTTTTTGATATGTTTTAGATCTTGATGCTGTGCTGCTTGTTCTTGTGTAGCTTGACGTTGTTTTACATCAGGTGCTACCATGATGGGACTTGGATCTCGGTGTCGTTGCGCCTTTTGTACACTATTAGGTCTCGGATCTTGTTGCTGTGTTACTTGCTTCATTTGAACTTGTAATATTTCCTGTTTTTGTATGACTCGTGGTTGACAATACTCTGCTGACATTTCTTTGACTTTAGGACTTTGTTCTTGTTGTACTTCTGGTATTTGCACTTTGATAGGTCTCGAATGATGCTCTTGTTGCATTTGTTTCAATTGAACTTGCAATGTTTCTTGATTTCGTATTACTCGCTGGTTATTAAACTCTGTTGACATTTCTTTGACTTTAGGACTTTGTTCTTGTTGTATTTCTGGTATTTGCAGCCTGATTGAACTCGGATCTTGCTCTTGTTGCATTTGTTTCAATTGGACTTGTAATGGTTCTTGCTCTTGTGGAACTCGCTGTTGCTTAATTATTTTTGGATTTTCTGGGATTAGTTTGCGATCTTGTGGTGATACATGATGTTGTTCCGCGTCATTTCGATGTCGCATGCTTTGTGTTGGTATGCTTGCTGCAGTAGTTGAAGTAAAAATTCTAGATGTTTCTGCAGGTGTTTGCTTGGCGATTGGCTGGTGTTGCTGCTGGTTGCGGAAAGGTGACTTGGAGACTGGACTATGAATGACTTTATCACATTTCGGTGTATTGGCTATGCGTCTCATGGTCTTCTGTATTATCAGCGGTCGTGCACATTCCACTGCTACGCGCCCGAAGATTATCTCGCTATCTCGTGCTCGACTTACTTCATTCTGCTCTTCGCGTAGTTCTTCGAAGTCCTCAGCTAGTGCTATTAATTCCTTTAGACAAGTGAAATTCCGACGCTTGATGTATATTTGGTACTCTGTGCTCATGTTGCGATATACTCGTTCTAATTGTGACTCTTGATTTAAACCTGCGTGTCGCATTAGTTTTTGTAGTTCCAAAAGATACATTTTAAACGTCTCTCCTGGTTTCTGCAATCGATTTCTTAGTTCGTCCTCCAATCGCTCGAAATATTGATGTGGCAGAAAGAATTTCAGAAAATCTCTCTTGAACGCTTCCCAGTGATTCCAGTCTTTCTTATTGTATCTAAACCACACCAAACCTTGTCCATCTAGTAACAGGGGCATTGTCCGAGGCAACATGTTCGTTGATATGGCATACAGATCCGCTAATTCTTCCAGTCGCTCGATAAACGTCAATGGATCGCTGTTGTCATCATACCGGATCGCCCATTTTCTGACCTGGTCAATGACGCTTGCCTGTGTGTTCCTTTGAGGAAGATACGAGTGTACATCACATTGCGGATGTGAATGTAACTGCCTTGCTGTTGTATCGCTGATCATGCTATGTCGCTCTGATGTTTCACTATATTCTCTGTCGTGTGTATATTCCATGTTGCTTTCCCTGTGTTACGAAGTTTGTTATTTACCGCCGCAAGTCTTACATTATTCCGTAGTATCCAGCCCGAATTCTCTGAGGTTCTTAAGTCATGTTTTCGTAAAATATAAAAAATATTTACGACCTGCCCATGTTAGTTGTGTGTATATCACCTCGTTATTGATATTGAAACAGTTGCTATTCGAGTCGTGAAGTGCTGGTCTCAGGGTCCCTGCTCGGGCGCCACTTGTAATGAACCCTTTTTGGTTCGTTTAAAGCTGGGGTTGAACTCAGCCGTCCCCAAGGTCCACACAAGAAATTTATTTAGTGAGACCCCGTCACTTCTGATTGCTCTTAATTACAGATACCTAGGTTCGAATACCAATCGGAATCACAGACACAAAGGAATCACTTGACTGAAATAGACACGATATAATACCAGCACGCGTGACTGTTAAAGCTACGTGAGTGGTATTACAGGTCGCTGATCACACGCCCTTCCCTGTTCACTGTTAAAGCGCCCAGGGGCCGGAGACGTTAGGTGACTATTAAAGCTACCTATCGTTTCCGACACTATGGTATAGACTCACGTGACTATTAAAGCTACGTGAGTTATACCCCGTACAACCGAGATTCAGTTACTGTTGAAGCCCTGAATCTTTCTTACCTGTGTCTCTCACTTGTGTCGTTGTGCTGGATTCCCACCTTGATTTTACACCGATCAGGAGAAGCTAGTTTGTGTTGAACTCTATCAAAGCGGTAGTTATACCTATGAGCCCTCGCTATTATACCTGTTTTGCTTTTATTTTAATAAAACACTTTTTTTTTTTCAATTTATTCGCTCGTTTAGTTTTTTTATTTTATTCATTAAATTTATTAATATTCATTTTATTATCAAATAAATAGCTAAATATTAATTTAGTTTTATTTTATTTTTTTTTTTTTAAATTAAGTACTCTTTACTCTACTTTAAGTCTATACAATTTATCAAAAAGAGTTTTAAATTTTTTTAAATTTATGTAATAACACATTTACTAATGTAATCCGTTTATCTTACTTGAAAATAATTTTTACATATAAAATTACAATTTATACGTACTCGCAATTTATCAATAAGAGTTTTAAATTTTATATATTAACACATTTACTAGTTTAATCAGTTTGTCTTTCTTAAAACAATCTTTTCGTGCAAAATTTTAATTTATGCGTACTCACAATTTATCAACAAGAGTTTTAAAAATTCAATTTCGATTGTTACAACTCTACTGGTTCAAATAATTTAATTTTTAATTTTTAAATAATTCTTTTGTTTATAGATACGATTTTACACTATTTCTGAGACTATTTAATTGTTTTTGATAATATCACCGCCGTCTTAGTTAAATAAATTCCGCTGCTGCTAACGCCAGGAGTTTTCCTTTTCACGACCGCACATAACCAGACAAGAGAGCTTCTTCCAAGTGTACGCAACTTTTATACCGTCAACGATCAACGGTGCCAGCTGTTGGTACGTTAAAGTTCAACGACCGTTGATCGAAGCTCGTGAACTGATAGCTCAAGTCGTGCAGATCGTTTTTGTTTTTATCGGACTTGTCAAATGAATGGCAGGCGATGGTGGTGCTCTCGGCGTTTGTGGCGTTTGATCAATGGGCTCCGACACAATGTCTAGCATCCGCTGTAGAAGTTCGTCTGGTGCCAGTGTTGAGCTGAATTTTATACTTTCTGGTGCAGTGTCTTGGTTACCAACACTGCGATTGAGCTCGTCGACTAATTCCGGTGCTTCCAGACAGATAACGTCGTCGTCATCAGTCACCGTTAACGAATGTTCTGCTAATTCGATTGTTGATGGCTGCATTTCCCTTGCGGTGACTTCAGTAGATGTGGAGAATTTGGTTCGCCAACCGAGAGCTCTTGGTTTATTCTTCCTATCGTTCGGTGTTATCCATGGAACTGATTTACTGCTATCTAGGTCATGGGGTTTACCTTTATTTTTAATGTGGAGGTTAGTATTGCTTGTGTATTTTCCATTGGTTTTTTTTATTTTTTGCTTTTTTAGGTTCTTTGTTACATGAGGTTCAATAATTTTACATCTTGGACGAGCTGCTTCT